GGCTAAGACACTATACTTGCAGTACCAAGGGCCAACAGTTTGATTCCTGGTTGGGGAACTGGGATCACACATACTGTGTGTGGTATGACCAAGAAAATTTTTAAAAAGGAAGATGTTCCACAATTAGAGTTGACAGTTATACACATTGTGGATGTACCTTCTCTACCACCAAATTGTACCAAATTGCTGAATTTTTTGTTGTGTGAAATTCTCCTAAAAACAAGAACAACATAAAAGAGAGGAAAAGAAATGGTCCTTGACTTCCTACCTCCTCCTGCCTTCTTTTCCTTGCAGGACAAAGACAGACAAGATTTCTGCAGTCCTCTCTCCACAGCCTGACAGTTGCTGGCTGGCCCCCACCCACCTGTCTGCCTGCAGGGTCCCCCTGTCCACAGTGACTGGTTTGAAGAATGACCTTGTGACTCAAGTTGGACCAATGAGAGTCAGGCGGGAGGCTGTCAGAAATATTACTATAAGCAGAGTCACTCATGGTTCCTTAGGGTGAAAGCCTGGATCTGCCAGGAGTTATCTTTTGCCACCCCACAGCTGATCTTGTCTAGGATGAAGCCAAAACAGAGGAGGGCAGATCCTGGAGAAAAAGAGAAGCCCGTGCCTTTAACAACATTGTTTAAGCACCTTGATCCAGCCCTACCTAATCAGGGCACCCTTGGTCTTTCCTGTGGATTTGGTTTGGGTTGGTGTGGGTTTCTATGCGAGGAACTTTTTAATTTATTTTTATTCTTGGAATATAGTTGCTTTACAATGTTGTGCTAGTTTCTACTGTTACAGCAAAGTGAATCAACTGTACACATACATATACCCCCTCTTTTTTATATTTCCTCCCCTTTTAGGTCATCATAGAGCATCAAGTTGCTTGTGCTATACAATAGGTTCTCATTAGTTATGTATTTTATACATAGTATCGATAATGTATATATGTCAATCTCAACCTCCCAATTCACCCCACTCCCCACCTTCCCCCTTGGTATCCATACATTTCCTTTCTTTTTTCTTTCTTTCTTTCTTTCTTTTTTTTTGAGTCATACTTCAGGCTTTTGAAAATCAAGAGTTTCAGCTCCTAGTGTTCCTTTTGTTTTGACATGGTCCTTCATCCGGCACATCCGACAAGTAATGTGACCATCAAAACTCACAGTGGCAGGTTAGTGTCCAGCACTGAAAGGTAGCAGAACCATGGAATCGGTTCCCAAACTGTAAGCTTAGCAGCAGCAGATTGCACCCTGGAGTTAGAAGCCTGGGTCAGCTGCCAGTCATTAGTCTTTCTCCCCTGCAGGGCAGGCAGTCGACAAATGTGTCCTGGGGGGAGAGAGGCTTCCCTCCAAGCCACCCTATCTCCATGGGGCTGGGGCCAAAGTCAACATTTCTGGTGCCAAGTTGTGTGGCTTGTGTGTATCTGGCTCTTCATCCTGTTGACTTTCTGAGGTTGCTATGGGCATCTGTATGGGACCCAGGTGCTTCCCGCCTCTGTGGGGATCTTCCTGGAGATGGACTGTGGGGGCTGCCTTCAGCTCCCCAGGGAAGGCAGATTAAAGCTGCGAGAGCCTGAAGGGAAAGTTGCCAGCCCATGCTTCCCAGGAGTTACAGGACACTCAACAAGTGAATCCTTACCTAGTTACCCAGGTTCCAAGAGGGCTCCGTGACTCTATCACTCACACACACAAGATCAGCCACCAGCCATCTGTTGTTAATAGCTAAGTCATGTCCAACTCTTTGGGACCCCCATGAACTGCAGCACACCAGGTTTCCCTGTCCTCTATCTCCCAGAGTTTGCTCAAACTCATGTCCGTTGAGTCAGTGATGCCCTCCAACCATCTCATTGTTTGTCTCCCCTTTCTCCTCCTGCCCTCAATCTTTCCCAGCATCAGGGTCTTTTCCATTGAGTTGGCTCTTCACATCAGGTGGCCAAAGTATTGCAGCTTCAGCTTCAGCAACAGTACTTCCAATGAATATTCAGGGTTGATTTCCCTTAGGATTGATTGGTTTGATCTCTTTGCAGTCCAAGGGACTGTCAAGAGGCTTCTCCGGCACCACAATTCAAAAGCATCAATTTTTCACCACTCTGTCTCCTTTATGGTTCAACTCATAGCCGTATATGACTACTGGAAAAACCATAGCTTTGACGCCAGCCATCTGTCATCTGGCAATTTCCCAAGCCCAGAAAACATTAGTTTCCTTTGCAAACTCAAGTATTGCAAGATTCTGAAATGCAACCTCTTTTCTCACAGCCCTTTAATCCTTAGTTTACACACAATGATAACCTACTTTGTTCTCTGAGTTGCCAGGTCTCAGATGCTGAAATTAATGATGATAATTAACAGTGATTAATATCTACTAAGTGCTTGTTTGTTACAAGACACCATTCTAAACACTTTACATCATCTCATTTAGTTTTTTCAATAACTCTGGAAGACAGCACCACTAGCAACCCATTTTAAAGATGAGCAATACCCACAAAATAAATAAATAAATAAATAAATAAAGATGAGCAAACTGATGCAATCTCCTAACCACCCAGCTCTCTTTCACTGCATCGGTGTCCTTCTGATTATTTTATATTTATCCTTAGGTTTCTGTGTGCACCGCCCCCCTTCCCCTCCCCCCACCCCACTCCCACCACTAACATCCCAAGGTCTGCCTAGCTTAGCCAAAAACAGGCCCTGGCACAGCTAGGAAGACCACAAACCTTTGTTCCTGAGTTGCAACCATAGAATGACCTCTTCTCTTGTCAGGGGGACTGGAAACGCTCCCCACCAGGCACACATTCCAACTGATCCTCCCCAAATCCCTGGCTACCTGGGAGTGGAGTGTCAAAAAGGAACCCCATCTCCAGGTCTTCCTGTTCTTTCCTGGCCCACTATTTTATTGTCTTTCCAGCATTTATATTAGCTGGTGATTTCTTTCTCTTTTTTTTCTTTCATTTATTTGGCTGCACCAAGTCTTAGTTGCAGCACCCATCATCTTTAGTTACAACATATGGGATCTTAGTTTTCCAGTCAGAGATGAAACATAGACCCCCTGCATTGAGAGCATGGAGTCTTAGCCACTGGACAATCAGGGAAGTCCCTAGCTGGTGATATCTTATTTATCCAGAATGTCTGCTCCAAGATGGCTGGAAATTTTGTCTACTGCGGTATCCCCATTGCCCAGAGAGCACACGCATGTGGACAGGGGACGTTTTTCTTGTTATGTATGCAAGTCCTTCCCTCATGCATCTCCCCCCGCCCCAACCTGCACCCCTTCGCCGACCCTCCAGGATCAAGCGGGCACTGTCGCCACCTACCGGCCAAAGCTAGCATGACCCGAATCCTGGCCTTCATCTTCAGGATCTGGGAATGCAGTTATAGAGTCATATCCCAAAAACCATCCATCCCCACGGCCCCTGGCGCCTCCCAACCAGAAAGCGGCAGCATCTGATTCAAGGTTGCTCTCACCAAGGCAGGGGCCGCGTGACAGAAGTGGATCTCGGGGCGCGGTCCCCATCACCACCACCACCTGAGGTCCTTTAGAAATGCAGACACTTGGGACTTCCCAGGCTGTCCAGTGGTTAAGACTCTGAGCTTCCAACTCAAGGGACCCCAGTACAATCCCAGGTATCGGAACAAAGCCCTGCCGTGTCTCAGCCAAAAAAAAAAAAAAGAAGAAATAAAGATTCTTGGGCTCATCCTCGACCTGCAGAACCAGAAACTTGGGGCGAGGCCGAGCCTTCTGTGTTTCAGTGTTTCAGCGAGCCCCCAGGGTGGCAACCCTCCAGGCCCTGAGCATCAATCCTCAACCACCTTTGCTCCCCAGCATTTGCCACAATTGGAGCGTGCACCTGGCACGGTGCAGCTGGGGACCAGGGATGCTGCTCGGTACCCTACAGTGCCCATAAGGGCCCCAACTCAGGACTGTTTGGCCCCAATAGCAGCAGTGCCCAGGTCAAAAAGCCCCTGCTATTTGGGAGGAAAAATGGAATCCCATTCAATTGAGGCCATGCTCACACTACACACCAAGGTAAATGCCAAATGGTCAGACAGCATAAATCAGGGTGGCCCCCAGGGTCTGCTTCTCCTCCTCTTCCTCCCAGTTTCATGTGTATTTAGATGTATGCAGCATCCCAAAATCACTGCAGATGATGACTGGAGCCATGAAAGTAGAAGACACTTGCTCCTTGGAAGGAAAGCATTGACAAACCTAGACCGCATATTAAAAAGCAGAGACATCACTTTGCCGACAAAGGTCTGTATAGTCAAAGCTATGGCTTATCCAGCAGTCATGTATGGATGTGCGACTTGGACCAAAAAGAAGGTTGAGCGCCAAAGAATTTATTCTTTGGAACTGTGCTGCTGGAGAAGACACTTAAAGAGTCCTTTGGACTGCAAGGAGATCAAAGCAGTCAATCCTAAAGGAAATCAACCCTGATTATTCACTGAAAGGACTGATGCTGAAACTGAAGCTCCAATACTTTGGCCACCTTATGCAAAGAAGTGACTCATTGGAAAAGACCTTGATGCTAGAATAAGATTGAGGGCAGGAGGAGAAGGGGGTGACAGAGGATGAGATGGTTAGATGGCATTACTGACTCAATGGAAACAAATTTGAGCAAACTCTGGGAGATAGTGAAGGACAGAGGTAGCCTGGTGTGCTGCAGTCCATGGAGTTGCAGAGAGTGGGACACAACTGAGTGACTGAACAACAACAAAAACAACCTGCTAATCCCAAACCCCTAATTTATCCTTCCCCCACACCGTTTTCCACTTTGTAACCATAAATTTGTTTTCTGCATTAATTTTGATTTTTGTAATGTTTTTTGTTGCTCGACTACATTGTAAACCATGGTACGTTTTTTTTTGGCCGTGCCACAAGGTATGCAAGATCTTAGTTGCCCAACTAAAAATTGAATCCTTGGCCCTTGCATTGGAAGCTCGGAGTCTTAACCACTGGACCACCACGGGAGTCCCTTATTTTGATTTTTAAATATATTGAAATAAAATTGTATTTACCTCTACAATGGAGTTTTTCTGATGTGACTCAATTCCAGCTCTGCAGAGAAGGATCCAGGCAAGTGGGCCCAGGGGATGTATTGTGGTTCTTGGACCTCCACCTGCTAGGGTCATGACTGCCAGATCTGACCTCCTGGGGCGGACAGGGAGGGGCCCGGGCTCCTTTGGCCTTACAGTTAAAAAACTGAAAAATTACTTAGATAGAATGATAAAGTTTTGTAACATGTGTATTGAGATATAATCTCAGGGCCTTCATTCATTTAAATCATACAGATCACTGGTTTTCACAAGCTTGTGCAACCAGCACCACAATCTATTTCAGAGATTTTTATCTCCCAGAAAGGAAATGCCCCCCTCTTCATTAGTAGTCACTCTTTCCTGGACCCTGGACATAGAGCATGGAGTGGACCACAGACTAGGTCCCTGCTCCAGAAGCGCTCATGAGCAGTGGAAGGAGACAAGTAATAACCGAGTCAGATAAAATAAAGATGAGGTTGGGACTTACCTGCTGGCCCAGCATTAAGGGGAACCTGGATTTGATCCCTGGTCAGAGAACTAGATCCCATATGCTGCAATTCAATATCTGGCATGCCACATCAGAGAGGCCAAGTGCCACAATTAACACTCAGGGCAGCTAAACACATAAATAAGTTCAGTCATTTCCAAGACTCACAGGAAGTGCTCTACAGAAAACAGAAGGTAGGTGCTGCTGCTACCAAAAGCTCAGCCTCTGTACACCGGTGCCCGATCAAACCCTGGAGACAGACAGAGGTCTGGGTGAAGTAGAAAGCTACTCCATCAGTGTCTGACTCTTTGCAATGCCATGGACTGCAGCCCGCCAGGCTCCTCTATCCATGGGATTCTCCAGGCAAGAATACTGGCAGCGGTTGCCATGCCCTCCTCCAAGGGATCTTCTTGACACAGAGATGGAATCCACATCTCCTCCATCAGCAGGTGGGTTTTTTACCAGTAGCTCCACCTGAGTCAGGAGATCCCCTGGAGAAGGAAACAAACGGCATTCCACTCTAGTATTCTTGCCTAGGAAATCCCATGAACAAAGGAGACTGGCAGACTGCAGTCCATGGGGCCACAAAGAGTTGGACATGACTTAGTGACTGAGCACTTGGTTCTGCACATTGAAACCTGGAAGATTCCCTGGGGGTTGAGTTTGGAGAAAATCGGGGCAGGGGGAGGAGATAAATCAGGGATCCAAAACGCTCAGCTACTTTGGACAACCATTTGGCAGTGTGGATCAGATCTATACTCATGGGGCTTCCTCAATGGCTCAGTTGGTACAGAATCCGCCTGCCAATGTGGAAGACACAGGTTCAGTCCCCAGTATGGAAAGATTCCACATGCCACGGAGCAACTAAGCCTGTCGATCAGAACTACTGAGACCACATGCTATGACTACTGAAGCCCACTTGCCCTAGAACCTGGGCTCCACAACCAGAGAAGCCACTACAGTGAGGTGCCCACACACCCCAACTAGAGAGTAGCTCCCGCTCACTGCAAGTAGAGAAAGCCCAAACATAGCAACGAAGACCCAGCACAGCCAAAAATTAGTTAACGAATTAATTTAATTTAATTAAAGAACACGAGTGCTTATATCCAGGAAAAGACTCATAGGAACGGTGTTCATAATAGCTCCAAAGTGGAAACCACTGTCCATTTTTGAGAGCTGGGTCAAGAAATAGTGGTACATGGGACTTCCCTGGTGGTCCAGCACTTAAGACTCTTCACACGAAATTCAGGGACCTAGGCTCAACCCCTGGTTAGGGAACTATGATCCTGGATGCTTCAGCTAAAATAGATTCTGCATGCCACAGTGAAGACTCTGAGAGCCACAATTAAGACCTGGCAGCAGCAGCCAAATTAATAAATAATAAATAAAATATTAAAAAAAGAAGTGGGAGAAAAGGGAACCCTCTTACACTGTTGGTGGGAATGCAAATTAGTACAGCCACTATGGAAAACAGTGTGGAGATTTCTTAAAAAGCTGGAAATAGAACTGCCATATGACCCAGCAATCCCACTTCTGGGCATACACACCGAGGAAACCAGATCTGAAAGAGACACGTGCACCCCAATGTTCATCGCAGCACTGTTTATAATAGCCAGGACATGGAAGCAACCTAGATGCCCATCAGCAGACGAATGGATGAGGAAGCTGTGGTACATATACACCATGGAATATTACTCAGCCATTAAAAAGAATTCATTTGAATCAGTTCTAATGAGATGGATGAAACTGGAGCCCATTATACAGAGCGAAGTAAGCCAGAAAGATAAAGACCATTACAGTATACTAACACATATATATGGAATTTAGAAAGATGGTAACGATAACCCTATGTGCAAAACAGAAAAAGAGACTCCGATGTATAGAACAGACTTGTGGACTCTGGGAGAAGGCGAGGGTGGGATGTTTCAAGAGAACAGCATCGAAACACGTATATTATCTAGGGTGAAACAGATCACCAGCCCAGGTTGGGTGCATGAGACAAGTGCTCGGGCCTGGTGCACTGGGAAGACCCAGAGGGATTGGGTGGAGAGGGAGGTGGGAGGGGGGACCGGGATGGGGAATACATGTAAATCCATGGCTAATTCATTTCAATGTATGACAAAAACCACTACAATGATGTAAAGTATTTAGCCTCCAACTAATAAAAATAAATGAAAAAAAAAAAGAAGTGGTATGTAATAAATAAGGCCCTACTGTATAGCACAGAGAACTATATTCAATATCCTATGATAAACCATAATGGAAAAGAATTTTAATATATAAATATTAAAAAGAGTGTAAGGACTTTCAAGGAGGTCCAGTGGTTAAGACTGTGTGCTTCCACTGCAGGGGCCACAGGTCTGATCCCTGGTGGGAAAACTAAAATTCCACATGCCACACAGTAACCAAAAAAAGAAAAAGGAAAAAAAAAAAATGTATATGTAGGCATAACTGAATCACTTTGCTCTACAGCAGTAATTAATACAACATTGCAAATCAAGTATATTTCAAACAATCACAATTTGCAGGTCATTGTATCAGAAGAACAAGAATGCATGTGAATTCTTGTAATCTGTATTTTGACCTAGGCTCATACAGTGCATTGAGAAAGACTTCATTTAGATAATTTGTGAACTTAATATATGTAAATTAATAAAACTGAGTGGTTTTAACATGTTAAAAAAAAAAAAACAGTGGTATGGTTACAAAATGGAATGTTATGCAGCAAGGGAAAAGGTGCCTGCCTGCTGCATGCAACCTGTTCTGCATCCCAGGGACACAGTGTGGAATGGATGAATCTGGCTGGGAGAGAACAAACTGTAGGACTCCATTTAGGGAGAGTACAAAATTGGACAAAACTCATCAGTGGTGATGAAAGTCAACCACTGGTGACCTCTGGAAGGGGAGGAACTGGGACAGGGCGAGAAGGAGCTTCTGGGGAGAGGAGGGCCGAGGATGGGGCTGGCAGTGGGTCACAGTGAGCTTGTATATATTTGTGTGCAATTTTTAAGGACTATTTGTTTCTTTCTTTTTTTGTTTTTTTTTGGCCATGCAGCTTGCTGGTTATTCCCCAACCAGGGATCAAACCTGTGTCCTCTGCAGTGGAATCATGGAGTCCTAACCACTGGACCTCCAGAGAATTCCCAATATATCTTCTTTTTTTAAAACATGATTTCTGGGTGTGTCTGTGCAGGGGTTCCTGGATGAGGTAGTCCTTTGAATTGATAGGTTTCCTAAAGCAGATGGCCTTAAGTGGGCATCAACCCACATGTTGTTGACCTGAATGCAAATCGAAGGAAAGTGGAATCTGTCACCTCTGCTCGACGGCCGGCAGGACCACCCGTCACTTCCTGTCCTTGGTCTTACAGCATCAGCCCCGCTGGGTGTCCAGTTCACAGACAGCAGGTTCAGATGGAGGGAATTCTCAGGACCCATCATCCTGATTATACATCTCTTTCTGGGCAGCAGTGTATCTACATTTATATCCTCATCTATCCTATTGGCTCTGTTTCTCTGGAGAACCCTCATCCCAGCTCTCAGGCTGGTTCTCCTGCACCACTTTGTTCTGAAAGCCAGCTACTGAGACCGGGCAGCCAGGCTGACTGGGTCTGGCTGTGTCCACAAGAAAAGAGTGGGGCTGGGTTCCGGGGAGGGGGCTTCCTCAGAAAAGTACCATGCATGCTCCCCACCCCGCCCCCCAACCACAATCAGCTGGGTGAGCAGCGCTATTTTCAGACGCACCCCCCCCCCCACTTCCTTCCTTGACTCTCAGAAGCCCACTTCCTGGCTGGGTCTCATTCTCCCCCACCACGGGGGTGGTGCAATAAAAAACGTGTCCATGAGAGTGTTTCTCCACCAACTCCCAAACCCCGACCATGCGTGGGTCCCTTCCCCAAACCATGATAGGCTACACAACATAGAGATCCCAGAGCAGAATCAAAGTGCAGATGCCCTTGGTCAAATCCTAAGAATTCCAAGACACAAGCAAATCCCTCCTGAGCTGGGGACCCCAGGTGACTGCAGGGCTCTCAGGCCAGGATGCTGGCACTGCCCTAACCACCTGCAGACCTCCCCCACCTCTCGGTTTCATCAAGTTATATTTAATTGTGGTAAAATACACATACCATAAATTTGCCATCTTAACCATATTTTAAGTGCACAGCTCAATGGCGCTAAATACATTCATACTGTCCTGCAACCATCCCCATTATCATCTCCAAAACTTTCTTATCTTCCCAAACTGAAGCTCTGCCCACATGAAACACTGACTCCCCCTCCCCTCCCCCAGCCTCTGGCCCCACCATCTACTTCCTGCCTCTGTGGATCTGACTCCTCTAGGGACCTCCTGTGAGTGGAATCACAGTGTTTGTCCTTCCGTGTCTGGCTTCTCTCACTGAGCATCCCGTCCTTAAGGTTCAGCCAAGGTGTAGATGTCAGAGTCTTCTACCACATTCCACTGTGTGGATGGACCACATTTTTTCATCCGTCAAGCCACTCATGCAGCTCCTATCTTTGGCTGTTAAAAATCATGCTGCTCTGAACACTCTTCTACAGTATCTGAGTCCTGACTTTCAATTCTTTCAGGTCTGAACTTGAGAAACACAAGCAT